CTCTCCCACCTCCCCAGCCCCCTCCGCCCGACTCCGCCAGCACTGCCAGGAGCGGTCACTGGGCGACGGCCTGGAGGTGGCTTCTGCCTCGCCAGCGTCCGGAGACTCGCGCGCCTGGCCCTTTCCCAGTCTTGCCGCGTACAGTCCAAGAAGGAAGAGCCCGAGGCTGCGCTCCTAGTCGGGCTGGGGGGACCCGCTGTCCCGCCCACAAATCCCAAAAGCGGGCAGGGGCAGAGGGAGTGCTCACTCGCAAGAGCGAAGAGCTGGAGCCCCGGGAAGGGAAGTCCTGGAAAGCCGTCAGGAAGTCCGGAGGAGCGCGGGGCTGCGAAGGCGGCGCAGGTCCCCTAGACCGACCCAGCAGTCCTGCCCCATCCCCCGCAGTCACCCCTGCTTGCGGGTGGGGACGGTGGAAACTAGGAGCCGTGCCCGGAACCCGGCACTTGGCGGGGCGCCCGGGAGTGGGTCCCCCGTCGCGCACGTCCCGGGGAAGGCGGACCGCAACATCCCCCCACGCAGCGTCCCCTTCCCACTTTACCTGCGGCGGCGGCCTGGCGCGGCGAGCGCACCTGAGGAGTGGCCTGCCCGACCCGGCCGGGCGGGGCGGCGTCCCGACCACTTAAAAGTTACAAAGTGAAACTCCGGCGCCTCCTGCACATGCGCAGACCCGCGTCCACCGCTTGCCCAATTTGGAGCCTTCCCCCGCCCCGGCGCTGGCCGCGGCGCTGCTGCTGCCGACTGCGCTTCGGGCTGTGCCCTCTCGGCGGTTTTCCGCCCCGGCCTGGCTCCGGGTCGCTGCTCCGTCCGCCCGGCTCCTCCCGGCGGACTGCAAGCCCCGGCCTGGCCCGCGCGCGTCCCGGGGCCGCGGAGGACGCTGCCGGGGCTAACTCTTCAGCCGCCCGGCACGTCCCTGCTCCCGGACACGCTGGGGGGACCCGGGCCAAGCGCAGGGTAGTTGCGGCGTGGGGACCCGCGGGGAGAGCATCTGCAAACGTTCATGACTGCGCTTTGAATTTCCCCGACGAGCTCTTAGGCCCTCCCTGGGGAGTCGGGGAGCCGAGGTGGGAGGATGGGGAGCTCAGCCGAACTCAGAGCACACCTCGGCTCCGGGCAGTCTGGGGTCACCCGGAGCCCCCAGTAAGGGGCTGCGATCGTGAAAGTCCTGAGTCTCCGTTCGGCCCCAAACGGAGGTCGCAGCATTTCCGGCGCTCTCCCAGGGACCCAGCTACTGCCCAAGCCGGGCGGCCAGAAGGGCACGAACTCCAGCCCAGCTCGCTGAGGGCGGCGAGTCTCCCGGCTGGTAGCCAGGTGTTTCCAGTGAGCCAGTGGCCTCCGCAACTGAACTGCAAGCTCGCGAAGGGCAGGACGCAAGGCAGGGTTCAAGGAGGACTGCTCGCCTAGCGAAGCTGGAGAGCACAGACCGCCTGCCGCGGCAAACTGTCCCCCTCCGCAGACCTCGGTTTTCCCATCTGTGAAATGAGCGCTTGAACCAAAGCTTCCTTTCCAGCACTCTCTCCGAGTTCTGAACAGCTCCTCGCCCCCTACATGGACACCTTTGCAGGTTCTCTGACCTCTCTTCCATTTCTGGGCTTTTATCTTTTACTGTAACGATAAAAATATCCTCCTTACCTCCCTGGCCCTGATTCTAGCACCAGCCTGTCCAGGGCTGGGGATGGGTTTCTCTTCCTGCCTCTTTCGGTTCTTCTCTGTCCCCTCTGGCTTCCTCCTTCTCTCCCGCTAAGCCTCTGGCCACTAGTTACTTCCCAGAGCTTTTCCTCTGCCCTATCCCTCCACAGCTGTGCCATCTCCCCTTCCCTGCTCTGTCACCTCCTGCTGCCAAAGGCCCCGCCCCTGAGCTCCACAGGGTCCTGGTGTGGCCCCCTGGACTTCCCCTGGGCTCTTCGGACTGACCCTGTCCAGTCTTCTTCCCACTCCCCACTCCCCCACCTGCTGGTCCCCATCCCTTCCCTGCCTCAATTAGTGGTGCTGCCACCTGCCTGGACTGTGCTGTGGGTCCAGGGAAGTGCAAGGTTCTGGGCCCAGTAATTAGAATGATGGAGCCACTGGAGAGAGAGAGAGAGAGAGAGAGAGAGAGAGAGAGATGATTTCAGAGAGGGAAATGGTTTCTAAATTTGTTCTTCAGTAAGTTAAGATTATTTCAAAATCGACAGAAGGCTTCGATGGATCAGAATGTGAGTTGATACAGCCATAGTCCTTGTTATGTCGACATGTGGACTGCTTGTAAAATCACTCTTAAATCTCCAGTAAAAGTATGGAAGCCAGGGCTTGTTCCTATTTCATAGAGAAGGAAATGAAGGTTCAGAGGATATCAAATTAACAGCTAATAAGAGCTGTGCACGCTGACAAAGAACCCAAGATGTCCATGTTCCAGGACAAGATCCTGCATCAAGGTCACAGCTTAAAAGCCCCTGTAATCTTTGCATCCTAAAATGTTATAGCCAACACTGAACATTTGCTCCCTTTGTTCGCCCAAAATCTAAAGGAGTGACCCACATTCTTGTATCAATGATGATTTTGATAACAGGTTTTTTTTGTTATTTTGATACAGGTAGAAATAAACTAAGGCCTAATCACTATGTCCAGAAAAGTCAAAATTTCAACAACAATAACAACACAAAGATAAATCTGAGAGGAGAGGCACCACAGATACAAGAATCTGAGTGCATTTCAACACTAACTACCTGTATTACTTAACCAAGACCTTCACCAAGTCTTGGCCAAGTCAAGCTCTTTCCTTTGTTTTACAATCAGGTTGACATAATCCCTGTGGAACTTTCTGCTTCCTCAATTTTCAGAGCTTTGGTTAAAATAGAAAATTACAAAATTACAGAATAAAATGTGTTTTAATCATGTCTTGCAAAGCCCTTGTTATCTGGGGTGAGAATGTAAACCCACACTTGACTCAGGTCTTAGGCCCAGAGTAGTGGCTAGAGTTCATTCCAGATCCAGTGACAGGACAAGGAAACAATGACAAGTTGGGGTTTCTACCCTTAGGTTACAGTTTCTCCACATCTAAGTGCTTAGGATATAGTGCAAGGAATAATATGAACAGAGAAGACTGAGCAAGGGCTACCCAGGGGCCGCGGAGTCTCACTCTTTGGAAGGAAAAATTAGGTGAGCTAACTTGTCAGAGGAAGCAAATTCAAGATGAGTGGAGAGCAGAGAGCATATGCGCATCAGGCGTTCAGTGGTCCTCAGCTCTCCTGGGTCCCGTAGAACACTTAAGACACTCACAGAAGTCAAATCCCTCAGTGGCTGCACCAGGCGCCTACGGCTCAAGCCTCCTTGGCATGGGCGCCCCATCCGAGGCACAGCTGCACTTCTGCACCCTCATGTTGGGCAGGCTGACCACCTGGGGCCTGGTCCTGCCTCCCTCTTGGATGCTGACGATCACGGGCAGCGAGGCCATCTCCGACGCGATGCACTGCCGTGGCCCCAGAAACGGCCACTTGGAGGTCAGGGGATCCGGGGGCTGCTGGCAGGTGCCCACACACTCGTAGGCCAGGAAGCCCGGGGGCTCCAGGACCCAGTTCTCCGCCCACTTCATCCCCTGCAGGTCAATGTACATCTCCTGGCGACAGCAGCGGGTGCCCTTGGTCACTGGCGCCTCAGAATCACAATCACCCTGAGCTCTGTGTGGGCAAGGACAAGGTCAGAGGTCAGCTGGGAGCGCTGAGATCAGGGGCATCTGGGAGGGAGATTTATGATCTATCTCTCATTATGTTCAAAAAGCTGGATGTTTGTGATAGGGGATGAATGAATAAACATATACGAAACATAAATAATAAAGTGGCTACTGTTTATTAAAGGTCTCCCAATACTCCAGACACTGAACCAGGTATTTCACACGTGTTATCTCGGGTGATCTCGGCATTTCATCCTCACATGACCCTTCAGGGAGGTTCCAACGGTATCTCTGTTCCACCTGAGGACACCAAAACCCAAAGCTGTTCGGGGACACACCAAAGGACTGGCAACCAGTAGGAGGCAGAGCTAGATGGAAGCCAGGCTGTCTGACTCTGATGGCCTGTTCTTAGCCACTGTCCTATCCAGCCCCTTTCCGCTCCAGGGAGCTAACTTGTCCCATGAAAAGAGAATCACCAAGGCAGGAAGAAAGCTGTTCACCTTTAGTAACAGCTAAAGCTAATATTTTTCAAAGACTTAATAGTGGAGAAAGGTAAAGTGAATGAACATAGATGATTGTGATAAAGTGTATGATTCCATGACAACATGAAAATCCATTGAAAATATCAGAAGGTGTTTTTCAATAAAATATTTGCATAATAAGATTTCTACCATTAGAAACTGACATGTAGTGGGGAAGCAGTCTTCTCCTGGGGCGGCTGGCACTGCCTGCCAGACTCCGGAGACATGGGTCTGGACCACCCAGTCCACTCCTGCCCCACCGGCCCAGCGCGGAGCCTACCCGTAGTCCTCGAGGTCCAGGGCGTGCAGCTCCAGCTGGGGCTCCCCATGCCCGGCACCCGGCGTCCCCTGCCAGGCGAAGCGCACCAGCTTGTGGGCGCTGGAGGGCTGCGGGCCCGGGTGCTCCCTCTGCACCGACACCTGCAGCAGCAGCGGCTGCCGGGGCCGGCCCAGCTGCTGCCAGAAGTTCACGGCCTCGGTCACGTCGAAGGTCTTCCAGCCGCTCTCGTGGAGGGACACCAGCCTGAGACAGGACGCGGAGACAGAGCGCGCGTGAGGGGCGGGGACTGGGACGGACTGTCCTGAGGGCCCGCCCCGCCCTCCCACACCCCACCCCTGGCTGGGCCCAGCCACTCCCTCTCCTCTCCCCGCTACTGCACACACTAACCGCGACCCCCCACCTGGAGTCGATGAGGGAGGTGCGGTTGGAGCCATCGTCGCGGACGCGCAGCCACTCGATGGTGACCAGGGCCCGGGTGCTGCGCGGGGACAGCCTGTGCAGCGCGGCCTTGGGGACGGGCTCCTGGAAGAGCCGCAGCACGGCCTGCACCAGCTCGCTGTTGGGCGGCAGCCGCTGCTCCATGCCGAACACCAGCAGGTGCCTGTCGGCCTCGGACACCAGGAACCTGCCGGCCACCTCTGGGGACACCAGCAGGGTCAGCGGGGCCTCTCCGAACACCAGGGGACCTCTGAGAGTGGTGGGGCCACTGAGGTGGCAGCCAGGCCAGGAGAGACTGGCCCCTGTTAAAATCCCCCTTGGGTCTCGCTGTGGGTGCTGAGGAGGTGGCGCCCAGCCCCAGGGAGGTGAGAGGCTGCAATGGGATGCGGCCCCGTTGCATCCCTGACAGCCGAATATTAATCAGGTGTTGAACTTTATGCTTTCTAGCCGCAGTGACTGACTTCAACGATCGCAATGCTGGGAGACAGGTAGGACATAGTCATACCCCTGCTCTAGACGAGCACACGGTTGAGAGAGGATTTGAAAGCCATTTGCTGAAGGTGGGGCTCAGACCACAGTGGCCATGTGGAAACAGCCCCGGGAAGTGCTGACTGCACCGCAGCACTCCTAGGTCCTGCCAGGCCGGCCTCCCCCTCCTCTGCTCTCTCCCCTCTGCCCTGCTCTTTTCCCATGCCTTGGCCCCTCCCACCGCCCCTTGGACCCAAGGAGCCCACCACGGACTTCCCAGGACCGGGTGCAGCGGGCAGGGAGGGCCTCACCTCGGAAGTTCTGGCTGAACCTCTTCCCGCGGGAGCGGTCCCCGTGGCTGCGCTGCAGCAGGGCCACGTATTGGGCCCTCACGTGGGCAGGGATGGCCAGCCGCTCCACGTTGGCCCTGTCCAGGACGGGCGCCTCGCGGAGGTGCAGCCGCTGCAGCAGGCTGCCCAGGAGCTGCTCCTCGGTCACGGCCGCCCCGGGGCCAGCCAGGGGCAGCACCCAGAGTGCCCAGCAGAGCCACAGGGGGCACATGGCAGTGAAGAGCAGGGTGGGTGTGTCCCCTGAGGAGGCTCCAGGAGGGTGTCAGGCCCAGCTGGGTGTGCTGAGAGCCAGGGCTGGGCCAGCTTTATAGCAGGCCCTGGGCTGGCCTGGGGGTGGGAGGGGGCAGGGAGGGAGGTCACACCCCTCGGACCTCCTGGAAGCTCAGCAGCCAGACAGGTCCCTGAGCCCTGAGGAGGGGGCTGTCTAGAAAGGGCAGGGCCGTTGGGACTGTGGACAGCTGGCTACTGCTGTCT